AACAAGTCAGTCGGGAGAAATTTGGACGTTGCGGACAACGTTGGCGTATGTTCGGGCCTCGAGTCACGTTTCGAGAAAATGTTTAGAAAACGTGCGCGAGGAAATACATTTGAAAACAGTTTGAAGAATTAAAGAAAGTAACGTTAAGAAATATCACGACTTAAATAGCATATAACTCAAGGTAGAAGAAGTGACAACTAGTCATATCCCCCATAGTACATTTTGGGGCATTTTAGCCCTGGCGGTTGTAGACATGGTTTTGGTGAACGGTCATACACTCCCGTATTGACCCAACGTGAAATGGTAAAAATCCTCCCCCACTCAATTGCTTGACATCTCTGTCAACCGACTCGGACAAGCAAGACTGGGACATCTGCCATGTGGCCATAAGCAACACGCCTTGGACAAGGAGGCACAATGCAATGCCATACATTGTCAAGAAAGCACAAGGATGTGTTAGACATAACTCCTAAAAGAGTGTTCTTCATGAATCACTTATAATGTAAACACTCCAGGAAATAAATGAGTTAAATGCTCCCTCTAAAAAGCACTTCAAGTAAATTTTATCTATTTTTCTAATTTCTCAAATGAATTGCACTCATAAAAAGTAATTTTAATTGGTCACATGAACTTTTTACTAATTGAAATTTTAACCAAAAAAGAACCCATTCATAAAAGAACATGCCTCAACACTACAAATTTACGAGGTAGATGTTGTTACGAAAAATATAACATCTTTAAGCAGCAAGGGAGACAGATCGAAAACTTACGATAATTGCACGTCCAAAGGCACCCGCACTCACATAAGCCCATGTTCCCGGAAGCATCCCAAGCCAGCTGCAATCAGATAATAAATCCGTTACGATTTCAACGATTTCTAAAGTTCATACAGCTCGTAACATTACGTACGTATCGATAATATTGGCTAAGGCGAACCAAAAAGGCATATTGATGAAAAGAAAAGCTACAATCATTTAGGAATTGAAAGCTGACCTTCCCAACACATAGGGGACAAATTTGACAGATGTGAGTCCATATAAATAATTTCCAAGAGAAAATGGAAGCAAAGGGCTCAAACGTAGGAGAGTGACTACTTTGAAACCATTTTCTCCAATAGCTTTATCAATGGCAGCAAATTTTTTGTTTCCTTCTACGAGCTTAAGAATTCGCTCACGAGCAAAATACCGAGCAATCAAAAACGCAACACTAGCAGCAACCTGAAATGATTGGAGATAATAAGCTAATAATTAGCGGGCATATGTTAATCCATCGGTTTGTTTTACTTGCACAAAACACTCACCGTTCCACTGATCGAAACTATAACCGTCCCGATCAAAGAGCCAAAGAGTAGCCCAGCTGACATTGTTAATGGAATGGCTGGAATTGCAAGAATCTAGAAGGGAAGAAATCATTCCATAAATTTCAGTCTTAGCATATATGTTATGAGCTAAGCAAGCATAGTTCTTATGGAGTACTACAAAAGTATCAGGTTCCCTCCTTGCATTAGCTCATGGCCTCGGCTCCATTCGATCCCGGGTGTGAACTAAAGATTTTAGACTATTAAGTTCTCCAACTCGGCCACCCCGACAGCCACCTATACTAAGCCTTACCATGAAGGGCAGCTCTACAGATGTAAAAGGCATAGTTCTTACATATTTGGATTAAGGGAAAAATATGTGTACCTCCAATCCTGCATACGCTGCTACAAATAAAGCATATCCTGCTGGACCATATCCTGTTCATCAAAAGCTCTATGTTATGAATTGCATGATTGAGATAGAAGCTTCAGAGAAATGGAGAGCTCCTCAGCTATTCAATATATCTTTTTTTTGTTTGGTAATGATTCTATGTTAATAGACACAAAGAAAAAGTAGTATCTGCATTGTCAGAAACTAAAGGGTAGAGATATCAATAGCATCAGCTTCTACATCCAAATATCATAGCATCAAATGATTTGTTATAACTCCTAAGATTTGCATTAAAAAAAACTATTTTTAACGGGCCAAGATCACCACTAGCAGATATTGTCCTCTTTAGGTTTTCTCTTTCGGGCTTCCCATCAAGGTTTTTAAAACGCGTATGCTAGGGAGAGGTTTCCACACCCTTATAAAGGGTGTTTCGTTCTCCTCCCAATCGATATGGGATCTCACAATCCACCCCCCTTCAAGACCCAACCACTTGTTCATGTAATGCACATACACAGAATTTTGGGAAAGCCCATAGCAAAGCCATGAGAGCTTATGCTCAAAGTGCACAATATCATACCATTGTAGAGATCCGTAATTTTTAACATGGTAACAGAGCCATGCCCTTAACTTAGTCATGTTAATAAAATCCTCAAATGTCGAACAAAGAAGTTGTGAGCCTCGAAGGTGTAGTTAAAAGTGACTCAAGTGTTGAACAAAGGTGTACTTTGTTCAAAGACACCAAAGAAGGAGTCAAGCCTCGAGTAATGGGAGGCTGTTCCATGGCTCCATAAGAGAGGCTCTATAGTATACTTTGTTCGAGAGGAGTATGGTTGAGGATTGTTAGGAGGGAGTCCCACATCGGAGGGGACACTCAAAGCAAAGCAAGGTCAAACCATGAGAACTTATACGTGGACAATATAATATCATATCATTTTGATATCATTTTGGAATCATCGCGGAGATTAGTTATTCATAACATTTCCCAATCCAAAACTTCAAACAAAAAAAAAACAAAAAAAAGTGACAAAATTACCATCAATAAACGTCGAGAATTGATTCAAGAACGCATTAATCGGATCCCTGTAAACATATCCAGCAAACGCAAATCCACCGATAACCCCAACAAGCAACACACCGGCCAAAAGAGTACCCTTAACCGCAGTATCATCTTCCAAAGCCGCCTGATCTCCCTCCGCGCCCTTACTCCCTTCATCGGCGTCGCCGTCGTCATCCTCGTCGGATTTGGGGCTAAAGAGCCACTTGAAGCTCTGAGGGGCAGTAGTGGGTGATTTCTGAAGAGTAGGCTTCTTGGATTGCTTGAGAGAGGAACAAGGCTTGAGGAAATGGAAGCGTTTGTTAGGTCTGAAGCTGAAGAGGAAAGAGGAGGAAAGAGGGGGAGAGAAATGGAGAGAAGAAAGACATGGCGGTGGAGGGCTTGATGACGACGGTATTAAGGTCAGAAAGGCGCGCATTATAAAGAGGAGAGAAGAAATTGAATGGAAGAAGATCAGCTCATCAATGGAGATCTGTCTGTGAGATTAGAGGAAGAACAAGGAAGAAGATGAAATCTTCTGCAATTTTCTTCTTCTTCTTCTTACGAGTTTTGATTTGGGATTATATGACGTGGGGCAATATAGAACATATGGAATGAATGAATTTTACAATTAAAAAATAATAATAATTAATAAAAATATTTATAATTTTTCATAAGGAAATAAAAACTCAAAAATATTTTTTTTTAACTCTAAAATTATTTAAAAGATAGAAACGATAGATTTGTTAGATGAACACGGCTCTCCACAATGATATAATATTGTCCACTTTGAGCATAAACTCTGCTCTATTTTCTTTGACTATAAACTCATGATCATTTCCTAAATTAGGTGAGACTTTCATCCAACACCTCCCCTCGAAAAAGTATGTCTCCTTTAATCGAGGCTCGACTCCTTTTCTTTTAGAGTCATAGTCATTATTAGCTGATGTGGGTGGGACTTTCATCCAACATCTTCCGTCGAACAAAGTACGCCTCCTCTTAATCGAGGCTCGACTCCTTTTCTTTTGGAGTCTTAGCCATTATTAGCCGATGTGGGACTTTCATCCAACACCTCCCCTCGAACAAAGTACGTCTTCCCTTAATCGAGACTCGACTCATTTTTCTTTTGGAGTTCTTTGTTTGACATGGCTAAGTTTAGAGCATGACTCTTATACCATCATGTTAGATAAACACAACTCTCCACAATGGTATGATATTGTCCACGTTGAGCATAAGCTCTCATGGCTTTGCTTTGAGCTTCCCCAAAAGGTTTCATTCAATGGAGATATTATTCTTTGATTATAAATTTACGATCATTCCCAGTCTCATCCAACAAGATTAACACAAATTTATTATTTAACATTTTTGGTATTTAAACAGCTTAGTTGTTTATAAATAAATTTTATATCTAATCAACTTATCAATAAAAAAACTAAATTAATATTTATTAAAATTTAAAGATTAAATTGTATTATTTTGAAATTACGAGATTAAATCATTAGGAACAAAAATTAAAAAATTAAAAAATTAAATTATTATTTTCGTGAAAGTTCACAACCAAAATAAAATTTAACTAATTATTTATTATAAGTTAAAGAATAAATAATATTCTTCCCCAAGATGCTTCGGATTTTGACATTTCTTTTTGTTTTTCTATTTGCTATGGGTGGCCTCAAAGGTTTCAATAAATAATAAATAATAAATAATAAATAATAATAATAATAAACACACATCAATAATTATTTATCAAAGCAAATATCCTCACCTTCACCTTCAATTGTATCTAAAAGTGTACATTCAACCGACAACCGACAACCTGACAACCCGAACCAACCTAACCCGAAAATCCAAACTATAAGAGTTGGGTTGGATTAACTTTTTGGGTTGGTTTGAGTTCATTTTTTTAAACCCAAACTGACTCGATATGATTTCAGGTTCATGGGACAAAACCCTGAGTTGACTCAAGTCAAATAAAAATATATAAAACCCCAAATTCAATGCTTTAAACTAATCCTTTTTATTGATATCTTCTCAAATCCTTTTTATTGATATCGAACTTTTATCTAAGATTGTATCCAAAAAATTATAAATTTTGAATAAATAAAACTTTTTTAAAAAAATAATTTTTTTTAACGACCCGAACCCAACCCAACCGAAAAATAGAGGATTGGGTTGGGTTGTGATAATTTTTGGACTGGGTTGAGTTACCAATCTAACCAACCAGGTTGGGTCAAAAAATCCCCAACCCGAACCATGTACACCACTAGTTGTATCAATTAGAACTCCAAAGTAATAATTAAATTAATTTAAACTCTAAACTCTCGTACTTAGGTTGAAATTTTAGAGTTTAAATTGATACAATTAATAGCGTGAGATTTTACCTGATACAACTTTGATATTAGCCCTAATCTCTCTCGAACTCGTTACCTCGATCTCCAAGTCTCAAGTGAGTGAGAATGAATTTACATTCAGCTAGCTGTGATCAACTCTTTCATCCTGTAAATGCAAGGAGCTAGTGGGAACTGAAGGAGAAGTTACTTTGTGGAAGCCATGGCGGAATGCTGGGTATTGCATGGACGACATGAATTTCTCAAGCCTTTGATGCAGACCTGCTTGTAGTACCTGAGGTGAGAGTAGCTCTGGGTTTTCAAGAGCTTTAACTGTGGATGTTGCAGCAATATTAACCTGCAACGAAAGGAGGATCATGAGAATTGGAGGAAAGGGTCGGGCAACCCGCTCTTTAATTCAAATGTTGTTTTTAGAAAACATGTAATGAGATCCCACATCGGTTGAGAGGGGAGGGGGAGAACGAAACATTCTTTATAAGGGTGTGGAAACCTCTCCCTAGCATACGTATTTTAAAATCTTAAAGGGAAAGCCCAAAGAAGACAATATCTGCTACGGTGGGCTTGAGTTATTACAAATGGTATCAAAGCCAAATATCGGGCGACGTGTCAATGAGAAGGCTGAGTCCCAAAGGGGGATGGACACAGAGTGGTGTGCTAGCAAAGACGCTGGGCCCCAAGGGGGGTGGATTGAGGAGTCCCACATCGATGGGAGAAGGGAACGAGTGTCCACGAGGATGCTGGGTGTCACAATCGTACTTTGATGGCAGCGGACTTGAGATTGTGCGACACTCACTTCTCAACAACAAGTGAGTCTATTCATTCTTGCGTTGCCTACGGCCAAGCGACGCATGCTCGAGCCTCTGGCCCCGGTTCAAAAAGAAAGTTTTAGAAAACGGGGTAGAGAGATTTCGAATGAGAGTTTTGAAAGCTAAGATTTGAGAAATTGAAATTGGTGTTATATGGGAATGTAAGCAAAAAGCAACAATAACGGCTTACTGCATATAACTATCGGGTAGGGAGAAGTTGACAACTAGCTGTATCCCCCTATAATACATTTTGAGGCATTTCATGTCTGGCAGGCCTAGACATGATTTCCCCCCGAAGCGTCATACTCCCAAAAAATACAAAAGAAACATTTTACAACATGGAAAGACATTAAGGGTTTGGCTTGTCATGGGCATACGGCCATGGGCAACACGCCTTGGACGAGCATGACCATGACAATGTGGAAACCTCTTCGTAACAGACGCATTTTAAAACTTTGAAGGAAGGCCCAAAAGGTAAAACCTAAAGAAGACAATATTGTGACTTGGGCTGTTATATCCAAAATCATACCATTGTGGACTTGGGCTGTTACATCCAAAATCATACCATTGTGGACTTAGGCTGTTACATCCAAAATCATATCATTGTGGAGAGTCGAAATTAGAAATAATTCACTCCAAAATATCCCAGGCCCCGGGAGAAGCATGATCAATTGGAGAGCATGGAGGGGGCAACAACACGTAAAATTCTCTATTTTAAATGGTTTTGTGAAATTCAAGGTCAAGATCCCCAAGAAGGGGAGGGTTTTTAGTGGTTAGTTGCTCCAAGTGTTCATCCAAAAGAAGATTAGAACGTGGGTGGTTCTTTAACTGATATTAAAACCACTTATTTCCCTCCTGCTTATCCACCCCTTGTGATGAACGAAGATTAGAACGTGGGTGGTTCTTTAACTGATATTAAAACCACTTACTGTAACAGCTCAAGCCCACCGCTAGCAAATATTATCCGTTTTGGGCCGTTACGTATCGCTGTCAGTCTCACGATTTTATATAGCGGTGGACTTGGGCTGTTACAAATGGTATGAGAGCCAGTCACCAGATGGTGCGAGGCACTGGTTGGAATAGCGTTAGACCCTCTCATAGTAGAGGCATTATAAAAACCTTGACAGAAAGCTTGAAATGGAAAGCCCAAAAAAGACGATATCTACTAGCGGTGGGCTTGAACTGTTACCGTTACATTCTCGGAACGTGAGCAGAACTAACTAATAGAATTTATAGAAATAACTTGTAGGAGTTGCATTCCCCTTTTAACCCCTCATAGTACACGAGGGGTACACATTTTTACAGTTGACAGTCTAACAAAATCATCACTTTTACAATTTATAGAGGAAGGATCTTAGTGGAAAGAAAGTGTTCTTTTGGGCGTTAAAAGGATCTTAGGAGGCCATTTTGGATCCAGCTCACTTTTACTCATATATACTTGGATCCATGTATCTAATCTTCTTTGTAATCTTCCTCTTTCCTTAATAGCTCAACAAGTGGAGCTCCTTCTAGCAATTTTAATTTGACCTCTTGGTTGCTCCTTTGTTGGTAAGTTGGAGCATTAGGGATGCATATGGAAGTCAACCTACGAGCACGGAAGAGTTACTAAATCTCTGACTACACATGAGTTCCATAGCACTAGCTACCTAAACTCAACAGCCAAGAACAGCTAATCGGACAATTTCATCGTGCTATGAGTGGACAATTCCGAAAGAAAGGTTAAGCTACCTTACCTTAGCCAACTAAGCAAGTGATGTTTTTTCGGGTCACTTCCATCGAATTCTTTCACTCTTCTTAATGAGTAGTTTTCTTATTTACAAATATAACAAAAGTATGCATCAGGTCTCAAGCTCGAGGTACAAAAGGATAATCGAAAAGGAAGAAGGAACATAATGAATCAAAACTAACGAACCAGAACAAGCTAAAGCACTTGAATAACTTATTAAACAATGGATTTTGAAACTTCCAACAGTCTCTGAACTTAACTTTACATACTGAAACACAACACTCAATAACTATTTTCATTGAAGAACCAATGCCTCACAAGAACTGTGTACCCCACACACCCCAAACTCTATCAAACCACAGTTCATTTCCTGTAACAATCCAAGTCATCGCTAGCAGATAGTTTTAACGAACCCGAACAAGCTAAAGCACTTGAATAACTTATTAAACAATGGATTTTGAAACTTCCCAAGAGTCTCTGAACTTAACTTTACATACTGAAACACAACACTGAATAACTATTTTCATTGAAGAATCAATGCCTCACAAGATCTGTGTACCCACACACCCCAAACTTTATCAAACCACAGTTCATTTCCTGTAACAATCTAAGTCATTCCATTGCTAGCAAATATTGTCCGTTTTAGCCCATTACGTATCACCGTCGTGCCCACGGTTTTAAAAAACGCGCCTACTAGGTAGAGGTTTCCACACCCTTATAAGGAATGCTTCGTTCTCTTCTCCAACCAACGTGGGATCTCACATTTACAATTTCAATTTCACAAACATTGATTGCGAAGTTCTTTTCCCAAAAGTTCACTAGACAGGAAGCTTCCTCTTCCTCCTCCTCCATTTTTGTTCACCAATTTTGATCTAATTCAATCGTGTATTTTTCAAAGATAAAGAAAATTAAACACAAGAACAATAATTAACAGTGGATAAGATTAGAGCCATACCATCTGCGCGACTGAATTAACCAGCGTTTTCGCGAGGGGCGCAATGCAAAACCTAAAAAAGATAAGATACGATCAGGACGCCAATCTAAAATTGCTATCAACTGCTTGGTAAACAAGAAGCTTGAGTAACCTAATCGGAAACAAAACTTATTCAAAAAGCAAAGAGAAAGCACAAATGTACTTGAGAAACGAAAAATCGAAACCACTTTTGTCATAACAAGAAAAGAATCAAGCCAACAAATCGAAAAAGAAGCCTCTCTCATTCTTTGAGAACTGAAAATCGAAACAACAGAAAGCACGACAGCCAACGCTGATGAACAATGAACGCAAAGAAACACACATACATTCCTCGGCCACCGGCCAAAGCTTCATCCGAAGGATTTTTCCATTCATCAATCCTGCAAAACAAAGGGAAACATCATCAAAATCCAAATTACGAATTTACAGACAGTGAGCTGGAATCGAGAGATACTAACACCCAACCGTAGCGACGATCGAAGAGAAGGCGCCTAGAGTCTGTGCATAGTTTGGATTCCGTAAAAGTTTTGTCCATCTTGTCGCAATTGTTCGAGTTGTTCTTTGTGTTCGGCTCACTGCTCAACGCCGTGGAAATGCCCTGCCATTTTCTTTCGGCTCTTTATCTCATTATATCGGAATAGATATAAAAAATTATTCCTATCTCTCACTATTTAGTTGATTTTTCTAAATAATACACGAGAGACAAATTTCTAAGCTTTTTTTTTTTTTAGTTTGGATTGAGTTGATTTTTTTAAAAAAATCGAGAATTCAGATCTATAACAGCCCGAACCCATCGCTAGTAGATAATGTCTTCTTTAAACTTTCCCTTTCGATGACTTTTCCCTCAAAATTTTTAATTCAGATCTATAACAGCCCGAGCCCACTACTAGCAGATACTGTCTTCTCTAAACTTTCCCTTGCTAGCAGATACTATCTTCTTTGAACTTTTCCCTCAAAATTTTTAAAACGCGTCTACTAGAGAGAGAGCTTTCCGCACCTTATAAAAAATGTTTCATTCTCCCCAACCGATGCGGAATCTCACAATCTATTCACGAGTAGATTGCAACTCAATTCAACCTTTTTTTTTTTTAAGGGAAAATTAAGAATATTTAACCATTGTTGTTTAACGTTTGCAAACAATTTTGTGATGCATTACGACAGATATTTGAACTTTATAAAATTTTAATTATAAATGTAACACGTATTCTCGATAGGTAGAATTTTTTTAAATAATTAAAAAAAGAGAACGAAAATTTAACCCAACTCAACTCAGGTTGGGTTGTACACTCTATTCAAATTGCTTGGGCCACCAACTCAACCAACCCAAATGTCCGATTGGTCCAATATTTTTTTCCAACCAGACCAAATCTATGTACACTCTATTCAAATTGCTCGGGCCACCAACTCAACCAACCCCAAATATCTGGTTGGTCCAATATTTTTTTCCAACCAGACCAAATCTGTGTACACTCTATTCGAATTGTCCAGTTGGTCAACCAACTCCAAATTTCCGATTGGTCCAACATTTTTTTTCCAACCAGACCAAATATGTGTATACTCTATTCGAATTGCTCGGCCACCAACTCAACCAACCCCAAATGTCCAATTGGTCCAATATTTTTATCCAACCAAACCAAATCTGTGTACACTCTATTCAAATTGTCCGGTTGGTCCAACATTTTTTTCCAACCAGACCAAATCTGTGTACACTCTATTCGAATTATTCGAGCCACCAACTCAACCAATCCCAAATTTCTGGTTGGTCCAACATTTTTTTCCAACTAGACCAAATCTATGTACACTCTATTTGAATTGCTCGGGCCACCAACTCAATCAATCCCAAATGTCTGATTGGTTCAATATTTTTTTCCAACCCGACCAAATCTGTGTACACTCTATTCGAATTACTCAAGCCACCAACTCAACCGACCCCAAATGTCCAGTTGGTCCAACATTTTTTTCCAACCTGACCAAATCTGTGTACACCCCAAATAGTTCGATTCTCAATAATATAATTGTCGAACCCGAGCGAAAAAAAAGATAAAACAAGCTTGATTTTATTAAGAATTAAAATTCCCAACATAGAAGAACCTACATTGCAAACAAAAAAGACACAAGGCAAAAGAGACCGTCCCAACAACCAAAAGAGAGCATAGAGACTAGGAAACTAATAAGGATGGGATTATGATGGAGCACCAAGGTAAGATGCTAGCCTCAAGATGTCACTGAAGATCCCACCTGCTGTCACTTGAGCCCCGGCGCCCGGTCCCCGAACTATTAAAGGCTGAGTTCTGTACCTCGTCGTGGTGAAAGCGATGATGTTGTCGGATCCTGAAAGTTGTGCAAATGGGTGATCGTTCTTGTACCTTTGCATCTCGACGAAGCCTCTTTGATTTTCGACATCGACCACCCCGACGTATCGCAACACCTTTAGAAAATAATAAGGGGTTTACATGAACACCAAATAAAAGAGAATCCAGGTAGTCAAATACACAGACAGAGCTACGATACTGATAAGGAGCTAAGGAGCTAAAGAGCTGTAACAGCCCAAGCGTACTGCTAGCAAATATTGTTCTTTTTTGGATTTTCCCTTTCGGGCTTCCCCACAAGGTTTTAAAACGCGTCTACTTGGGAGAGGTTTCTACACCCTTGCAAGGAATGTTTCGTTTCTCTCTCCAACCGATGTGGGATCTCACAGTTCACCCCCCTTGGGGTCCCAGCGTTTATGCTGGCACACCGCCCGATATCTAGCTCTGATACAATTTGTAACAACCCAAGCCCACCGTTACCAAATATTGTCCTCTTTGAGTTTTCCCTTTCAGACTTCCTCTCAAGGTTTTTCAAACACATATGCTAGGGATAGGTTTCCACACCCTTATAAGGAATGTTTCTCCGACCGATGTGGGATCTCACAATCCACCCCTCCCTAGGGGCCTAGCGTCCTCGTTGGCACACCGCCTGGTGTCTAGCTCTGATACTATTTGTAACAAACCCAACCCCACCGATAGCAGATATTGTCCTCTTTGGACTTTCCCTTCCGAGCTTCCCCTTAAGGTTTTTAAAACGCATCTGCTGGGGAGGGATTTCCACACCTTTATAAGAAATGTCTCATTCCTCACAATCCACCCCCTCTTGGGGGCCAGCATCCTTGTTGGCATACTACTCGGGTGTCTGGCTCTGATACCATTTGTAACAGCCCAAACCTAGCAGATATTGTCCTCTTTGGACTTTCACTTCCAAGCTTCCCCTCAGGATTTTAAAACGCATTTACTTAAGGAGAGGTTTCCACACCCTTACAAGAAATGCTTCGTTCCCTTCTCCAATCGATATGGGATCTCACAATCCACCCCCCATTAAGGGTCAGCGTCCTCGCTGGCACACTGCCCAGTGTCTAACTCTGATACTATTTGTAACAGCCCAGGCCTACCGCTAGCAAATATTCTCCTCTTTGGACTTTCCCTATCGGGCTTCCCCTCAAGGTTTTTAAAACACGTATGATAGGGAGAGGTTTCCACACCCTTATAAGGAATGCTTTGTTCCCCTCTCCAACCGATATGGGAGAGGTTTCCACACCCTTACAAAGAATGCTTCGTTCCCCTCTCCAACCGATGTGGGATCTCACAATCCACTCCGTTAAAGGCCCAAGCATCCTCGCTGGTACACCGCCCAGTGTCTAACTCTGATACTATTTGTAACCGTCCAAGCCTACCGCTAGCAGATATTGTCCTCTTTGGGCTTTCCCTACCAAGCTTCCCCTAAAGGTTTTTAAAACACGTATGCTAGGGAGAGGTTTCCACACCCTTATAAAGAATGCTTCGTTCCCCTCTCCAACCGATACATAATGCATGTAACTTTACGTATGCTCACGAAAACCATGGATATGCACATTTTTGGTTCAACAAAGACCAACTCACAGCAGCTTAAAATACAAGTTGAACCTAGCAGATTCCTTAAAAGTAAGTAACTAGCAGAACTATTTTGTAGAGATACTCACTTCCCCAGCATTCTCAGCCTCCTGTCGTTTCCTCGTCAGCTCGACATCGAACCGTGGCAATTGTTGCATGAACTCCTCAGCCGATGCACTGGCCTATAGTACATTAGAGGTCCAAGTCAACAATGGAGTACAAACTTTAAGCATTAAATGGTTAAACATATTATTTAGCCATACTCTTAATGGCTCTGGCACGAGGTTTTCCACGGGGATATCGGCTAGTTCGAGTTTCAAACCCGATTCTCTTGCAAGAATGATCACCTGAAACACGAACGAAACTTAAAGCATAAACAAATTTTACACGGGCGATTCAGAACACATGTTTTCGGATTTTACACAGGCGATTGAGAACACATGTTTACCTTTCTGGCAACATCGGTTCCGGATAAGTCATCTCTTGGATCGGGCTCGGTATAACCCGCTTGCTTTGCTTCGGATACGATGTCGCTAAAAGATTTACCGCTCGTAAAGTTGTTGAAGATGTAACTCAATGTCCCACTGCAGCAGAAAATAACATGAAAGCAAAGACTGTCAACATATTAAGGGTTGTTAAGTGTGCTTAGACTTTTTTAAACGTACGTTTTAGTTGCCTTCATTTCGAAATACCTAAATTCAAGGCAATCAATGACGATCGAGAAATAAATCTTCTTCGACATTCAAGTCCGAGCACTGCTTCCTAGGGGAATATTAAGATATGGGAAAGAGAAGACAGCTTTTCGAAACTGACCTAGAATGCAAGCAAATAGACGTTGATGGCACCTCGACGTTGGTCGAATGAAAACTGGCCAGGAGTGAAACCATTTTTGGAAACACTATAATTTGACAGAGATATTTGAAAGAAAGTCTATAGCACTGTACGTACAAGATTAAAACTGAAACCCTAATTTGGAAACCCTGAAACCCTAATTTGGAAACCCTGGTTGGACCGTTTGACGATCGTACATTTTAGTTGCCTTCATTTCGAAATAAATCTAAATTCAAGGCAATCAATGACGATCGGGAAATAAATCTTTTTCAACATTCAAGTCCGAGCACTGCTTCCTAGAGAAATATTAAGATATTGGAAAGAGAAGGCAGTTTTTTCGAACTGCCCGAGAACGCAAGTAAATAGACACCGATGGCACCCCAATGTCGGTTGAATGAAAACTGGCCGAGAGCGAAACTATTTTTGGAAACACTATAATTTGACAGAGATATTGGGAATAAAGCCTATAGCACTGTACGTACGAGATTAAAACCGAAACCCTCATTTGGAAACCCTGGTTGGACTGTTTGACGATCATACATTTTAGTTGCCTTCAATTCAAAATACCTAAGTTCAAGGCAATCAATGACGATCGAGAAATAAATCTTCTTTCGACACTTAAGTCCGAACACTACTTCCTAGGGGAATATTAAGATATTGGAAAGAGAAGACAGCTTTTCGGAACTGCCCTAGAACGCAAGCAAGCAGACGCCGATGGCACCTCGATGTCGAACGAACGAAAACAGACCGAGAGCTAAACCATTTTTGTAAACCTTGTGATTTGACAGAGATATTGGAATAAAAAGGTCTATAGCACTGTACGTACGAGATTAAAACCAAAACCCTAATTAGGAAACCTTGGTTGGGCCGTTTGACGATCGTACATTTTAGTTGCCTTCATTTCGAAATACCTAAATTCAAGGCAATCAATCACGATCGAGAAATAAATCTTCAATCTACATTGCTATACCTACCCTCTAAAAGCTCTCGAAATCCGTAGGAAGATTCGAGAGGAAGTTTCGCTGGTTGGATAATCTAGAAAAATGGGGAAGAACAGACGGGATGCTTTTAACACACATCAAGTATAAATTTGTATGCACGGTCTATATTGACGTTTTTTGGGTATGAAAAACCGAATTTTCATTGAGAAAAAGGAAAAAGATACATAAACCTACAAAAAAGAAAGTCTACGAAAGGGGGCCGACTCAACCAAGGGACTCCGGTCAAGTAAAAATAAGATCAAGAGTAATAAAAAAAGGGCTTCGTCACTAAAGCTCAAAGAAAAACGTCGAATCTAACTGTGAGATCCCACATCGATTGGAGAGGGAAACGAAACATTATTTACAAGGGTGTGGAAACCTCTCCCTAGCAGACACGTTTTAAAAACCTTGAGGGGAAACCCGAAAAGGAAAGCCCAAAGAGGACAACATCTGCTAGCGGTAGGCTTGGAGAGGGGCACGAAACATTCTTTATAAGGGTGTGGAAACCTCTTCCTAAGGAGAGCCAGACACCGGGCGGTGTGCCAATAAGGACGCTGAGTCCCAAAGGGGAGTGGACACCAAGCGGTGTGCGAGCGAGGACGTTGGACCTCGAAAGGGGGTGGACATTGGGCGGTGTGCCAGCTAGGACGCTGGGCCCTGAAAAGGGGTGAACACTAGGTGGTATGCCAGCTAGGACGCTAGGCCCCGAAAAAACGCCCTTTGAGCGAACAAAGCTATGGCACTTGGGTCCAGATAAAATAGTCATACACCCTAGCAGTATGGGGACAATTATGTTAAGTGAAGAAAATATAAAGCAAAACTTTATTCAAAGAGAGGACAAACAACCTGAAGATGCCTTCAATACGTAATATTTTGTCTCCGGTTTCGAGCAAACCACGTAGCGTGCTAATGATTGGAAGACCGGCTCCAACCGTAGCTTCGTAAAAGTAATGAGTATACGACTGTCGTTGAAGAGCTCTCAACTTCAAATACTGGATTGAACAGCAAAGACGTAACCAAAGAATTAGTATAGCACATTCGAAACAGTAATTTGCAATGTAACATAAACGACACGGTTTAATCATTCGTGATTTCATCGCATTCTCGAGTCTGAAATTTTCTGTTAACCAAAGCCGTACCGAACAGAAAAGACCCAGAAACTAAAAACCTTTGCATTCTATAGCTGTCAATACGTTTCGTTTCGAAAGGGCCGTGAAGGGTAAGAGAAGTAATTTCCATATAGGAGGTACCTGATCGAGCGGTCCCGAGTTAGCCCTTTTATTTGGAGTAATGACATGAATTCCTCTTCGAAGCCAGTTGTAGTAATGGCTAGCAATATCAGGATTGGCCGTGCAATCGACCAAAACGGTGTTCGGAATAAAATGATTTTGATGCACATGCTGCACGAACCGTTCCATATCTGCCGTTTCGCCTCTCTCACCTTGAAGTTCTCTCCAATTAGTTAAGTCAACTCCCCTACAATCACATATCATAAATAATTAAATCGAGTATTAAACGAAACAGCGCCAAACTTTACATCTCCAATGGGTATTAACCAAAAAAACGTTTCGATTACGAAGGGATTCGTGGAGAGCATTGAGCATGAGAACGCCAAGGATCAACGAGAAAATTGATGCATAGAAAACGTAGAGACGAGAACGTAAAAATACAGAGGATGATAGTAAGGAACAAGCCTACTCTACGTTCGAAATTTTAGAACATCAGAAGAAGATAACACGTTCAAGAGAACGACCTTTCTCGAGTACATCCACGTAACACAGGCACATCATAATGCCAAATAGTAATGGAATCGTGAATAACCCTATACGGTACAAATAATGAAAGGAATCGAAATCGAGTTTTAAACTTACTCATCGCACAAAAGCATGCTTTTGGAGCTAATAATTCCCAAGACACGCAAATCGATGTTGAAGTCTTCTTTGAGAACGGATGCCTGCCAATGAACAATTCTTATAAACATGTTAGGACTCAAAATGAACACTTCAATGACCAATGCACCCCCTTCGGAGCCCAGCGTCCTTGCTGGCACACCGCCTCATGTCCACCTCCTTTGGGGCTCAGCCTCCTCGTTGGCACATCGCCTGGTGTCTGGCTCTGATACTATTTGTAACAGACCAAGCCCACTGCCAGCAGATATTGTCCTCTTTAAGCTTTCCCTTTCGAGCTTGCCCTTAAGGTTTTTAAAACGCATCTGCTAGGGAGAGGTTTCCACACCCTTATAAAGAATGTTTCGTTCCCCTCTCCAATCGATGTGGGATCTCACAATCCACCCCCCTTCGCGGCCCAGCGTCCTAGTTGGCACACCGCCCGGTGTCCACCCCCTTTTAAGGCCCAGCGTCCTTGCTCGCACACCGCTTGGTGTCCACTCCCCTTTGAGACTCAGCGTCCTTGTTGGCACACTGCCCGATGTCTGGCTCTCTTTAGGAAGAGGTTTCCACACCCTTATAAAGAATGTTTCATGCCCCTTTCCTAGCCCACCGCTAACAGATGTTATCCTCTTTGGGCTTTCCCTTTTGGGTTTTCCCTCAAAATTTTTAAAACGTGTCTACTAGGGAGAGGTTTCCACACTCTTATAAAGAATGTTTCATTTTCCTCCCCAACCGATGTGACATCTCACAGGCGACCAATCTTTGGAGCATGCCGATGGAAAACTTTGGTTGGTCTACCACCTTCCCAACCATGGACACGGGACATGTGGCAATTATCCACATGGATTTGGATAGCACCACAAAGGTAAAATAACTTCGAAATAAAACCCAGATTAATAAAGGATTTCGTTCATAAAGATCACCTGATCCTTTAGCTGCTCGAGTAACGTGGCACCAATAAGTCCAGGTCCGATGATTCCCATTGCAATCGTTGTCCTTGACAGGTAAAATCTCGAGTGCACGGCTCTCAAGGCTTTTATAGAATCTTCTCGCCTAACGACTACAGTAATGTTGTATTCCGTGCAGCCTTGGGCAATAGCTCGGATATTTATGTTAGCCTGCGTTGTAACTTACCATCATTATTCATGTAGAGAAAATAAATTACACAACATAACTAAGTGAATAAGTAATTTGTGACCTTTGCCAGTGCATTGAAAAGGGTGGCACTGACTCCAGGAGTACTCGCCATTCTCTGTCCAACCGCTGCCAAAATGCTACAGTTCGGAACGACTGCGACCTGAGGATCATATTATATTATATTCTGTTTTCTTTCACGGTACTCGAGAAAAACTTGGTTACTTATTAAATAAAATAAAATAATACAGAAAAACTTGGTATAAATCGTGGCTCGATTTTGGATGTAACAGCCCAAGCCAATATTGTCCTCTTTGGATTTACCTTCCGGGCTTTCCTTCAAGGTTTTAAAACGCGTCTGCTAGGGAGAGGTTTCCACATCCTTATAAAGAATGTTTCATTCTCCTCCCCAACCGATGTGGGATCTCACAATCCACCCCATTCGGGGCCCAACGTCCTCGCTGGCACATCACCCGGTGTTTGGCTCTGATATCATTTGTAACAGCTCAAGCCCAGCAAATATTGTCCTCTTTGGACTTTCCCGTTCGGGCTTCCTCTCAAGGTTTTTAAAATGCGTCTACTAGGGAGAGGTTTCCACACCCTATAAAGAATGCTTCGTTCTCCTCCCCAGTCGATGTGGGATCTCACAATCCACCCCCTTCGGGGCCCAGCGTCCTCGCTGACACTCGTTCCCTTCTCCAATTGATGTGGGACCCCCCAATCCACTCCCTTTGGGACCCAGCGTCCTTGTTGGCACACCGCCTCGTGTCATACCCCCTTCAGGGCCCAGCCTCCTCGCTGGCACACCGCCCGGAATCTGGCTCTGATACCATTTGTAACAACTCAAGCTCACCGCTAGCAAATATTATTCTCTTTAGGTTTTCCCTCAAGGTTTTTAAACTGCGTCTAATAGGGAGAGGTTTCCACACCCTTATAAAGAATGTTTCGTTCTGATGTGAGATCTCACAAGATTGATCTTTTTCATTGATCTTTTTCAAGATTGATCTCACAAGATTGAACTTTTTGGTATGCACGAAACATATAGAAGGAAAGAAAATCAGACTCCTCGAGTCAAAACAATTAATTACCTGCGAAAGGCGCCCAGCCTCTAAGGCTTGACGGAATCTAGATTTCAATGCCTCGGCAACAGCTTTTACTTCCTTCTCGGGCACCGCAAAACACACAGAATGTTCACTACTAGCCTGCATTAACCTTCGTATAAGCATCATACAACAAAGTCTAGATTAAAGTCGAAAAAGAAGAGGTTATATCGAATCACCTGAGAAATCATAATAACATTAGCTCCTACATCTTTAACAGCACCAAAAATGGCATTGGCGGTACCCGGGACACCAGCCATTCCAGTGCTGGAGAAAAATTGGGGGACGAGATACGGAAATGAGATCACGATATCAGTAAGGAAGACATACTTATAGTTTAAGACAAAGATGGATAGCTAACGACGAATTAAACTCACCCTTCAACGTTTATAAGCGCAACATTGTCGATAGTTGCAAATCCTTTAACAAAAGACACTAGACTCTCGCTCTCCTCGTCAACTGTTTGTCGGCAGATCGTTGTTCCAGGTGCAGAGAGATTGAAAATGTTCCTTATGATAATCGGTATGTCATATTGCATTACTGGAATAATCGTACGAGGATGTAAAACATTTGCACCAAAATACGACTGCACGTCAATATAATATATGTTAGCGACCGAAGCAGAGTTCGATATTCATTATAGAATACAACAACCCGACTTACCATCTCCCAGGCCTCTTGATAGGACAATGTCTTTAAAACAACTGCTTCCTTAACTGCACAAGAAACAAACCTCATGATACAGTAACATTGCTGCTTTGATGAGATTAAAGTTCTAATATAAAGCATCCGAACGTTTTTAAATACAAGCATAGAGATTTCGAGTATAATGTGTTAGGAATCACGGATCTCCACAATGGTATGATATTGTCCACTTTGAGCGTAAGCTCTCGTGGCTTCTTCAAACAGCCTCATACCAATGGAGATGTATTCCTTACTTATAAACCCATGATCGTTCCCTAAATTAGCCAATGTGGAACTCCCTCCCAACAATCCTCCCCTCGAACGAAGTACACCATAGAGCCTCCCCTGAGGTCTATGTAGCCCTCAAACAGTCTCCCCTTAATCAAGGCTCGACTCCTATCTTTGGAGTCCTCGAACAAAGTACACCATTTGTTCGACACATGAGTCACTTTTGACTGCATCTTCGAGGCTAACAATTTCTTTGTTCGACACTTAAGGATTCTATAGACATGGCTAAATTAAGGGCATGGCTCTGATACCATGTTAGGAATCACGGATCTCCGCAATGGTATGATATTGTCCACTTTGAGCATAAGCTCTCATGGCTTTACTTTGGGCTTCCCCAAAAGATCTCAGACCAATGGAGATGTATTCCTTACTTATAAACCCATGATCATTCCCGAAACCCACTATCATTACCTAAATTAGCCAATGTGGGACTCCATCCCAACAATCCTCAACAATAGCAACATTGCTGCTTCGATGAGATTAAATTTGCAATAAATAGGGAAGATGTATTAAAAGACGAGACCGAACCTGGATCCATATAGGCACTAAAGTTCTAATATAAAGCATCCGAACGTTTTCAAATAAAAGCATAGAGATTCGAGTATAATGTACTTAAATGTTTCATATAATTATGAGTTAAGCACAAAAGTACGACATATACCTTTTCTCGGATCTGCACTATAAACACCATCGACATCGGTCCAAATAGTGACTCTCCGAGACGTTAATAGAGCACCCATTATCGCAGCAGAAAAGTCACTCCCATCTCTCTTTAAAGTAGTGGGTATGTTTTGATGTGTACTCGCAATAAAACCAGTTGCAATGATTATCTTGGCCGAGTTTTTGGAATACCATCGCTCAAGTCTTCGAGCAGATTCCGAAAAGTCGGGATCAACTTGATTTGAAGAAGTTGGATTTACTATCAAAACTTCCCTTGTATCCATCCACTTGCAATCAAACCCCCTCTAACGAAACACTTGAAAGGATCAGTATCGCATATCGGTAACAGATTCGCAAGCTGCATTAACAAATAGAACGAAAAACACGTGCCATACCTGTCTAATAACAGCCGACAACAAACTAGCGGACCACAATTCTCCATGTCCTACAACAAAATCGGTAAAGGATTCCATGGCATGACCAGCTGCAAGATGATACGAAGCAAGTCACGGGTCAATGTACTTTCTACCATGAAAGGTCAACTAGTCGGGAAGAAAAGAATGCCCAACGACAACACGGGGATCAAAATCAGACTAAATTACTTATTTTCAGTGAGATTTTCATCCAAGAATTCTATATATTAAATCTTAGGTACGTAGCCATCATGACTTGAACCAGTTCTCGCTAAGCCCTTCATTAACGGTGGTGTACACTATGGAGATACTAGAAATAAATTAAGCTCGATTTTCTACAACGATCCTCTACATATCTTCACAATGGTATCATATCGTCCACCGAACAATGCGTAATCAATGATGTAAGAGTATACCTACTTACCAATATAAATTGCTTGAAGCATAGCCAACAGATTATCAATATCATGATGCAACTGTGATAAGAAACTGGCCAGTTCTTCCCCATCAAGCAAATCGTGTGCCGTTGATTTATACTTTTCCCGAACAGCATCTAAGGCAGATTCATAAGACTTGTCTCGTGATTGAGCCTTGTTAATGAGGTCATACATCATATCCGTCACTTTCGACATTGCAGAGACGACCACCAATTTCATCTCTGAATCATCACTAACTATAACTTCAGCAACGTTCTTAATTCGTTCTGAGTTACCGACACAGGTACCACCGAATTTATGGACGGACCAAACATCACCCTTGGGAAGTTGAACATTTTCCGTGGATTTTTCCAACGAGACGTCTGCTAAGAAGTGAAAAAACATGAAATGACTGAGTAAATGCATGACTTTAACAATTAATGAAATAGAAAGCAATCAATGGACCTGCAATGGAAGCACATATTTGTTTCCTTTGCGTCCCCCTTCTTAACCGCTGACCGACAAGGGCCATTCTGTAACACAAAACGTACCGTTCTCATTATTCAAAAAGCATTTAGACGATGTCGTGTAAAAGCTTTGCAAGTAGATAACGTATTGACTAGATAATATAATTCAACTGTAACGACCCAAACCCATCGCTAACAGATATTGTCCTTTTAGGGCTTTCCCTTTCGGGTTTCCCCTTAAGGTTTTTAAAACGTCTCTATTAGGGAGAGGTTTCCACACCTTATAAAGAATGTTTCATTCTCCTCCCCAACCGATATGGGATCTCACAATCCACCCCATTTCAGGGCCCAGTGTCCTTGCTGGCACACCGCCTCGTGTCCGCCCCCCTTCAGAGCTCAGCCTCCTCGCTGACTCATCGCCCAATGTCTGGCTTTGAAACAATTTGTAACAGCTCAAGCCCATCGCTAGCAAATATTGTCCGCTTTAGCCCGTTACGTATCACTGTTAGCCTCACGGTTTTTAAAAAGCATCTACTAGGGAGAGGTTTCCACACGCTTATAAAGAATGTTTCATTCTCCTCTCCAACCGACGTGGGATCTCACAATCCACCCCATTTCAGAGCCCAGCATCCTTGCTGGCACATCGCCTCGTGTCCACCCCCCTTTGGAGCTCAGCCTTCTCGCTTACTCATCGCCCGGTGCCTGGCTCTGATACCATTTATAACGGCTCAAGCCCACCACTAGCAGATATTGTCCACTTTGGCCCATTACATATCATTGTCAGCCTCACGGTTTTTAAAAAACATCTGTTAGGAAGAGGTTTCCACATCCTTATAAAGAATGCTTCATTCTCTTTCCCAACCGATGTGGGATCTCACAATCAAATACAAACGAGATGGATTATGGATAAATTCCAAATATCCTAGAAAATGGTACCAAGTTTTCCATTGCCGAAAATTGAACCCAGGTCTCCTAGGTGAAAGCCAAAAAAAAAACCCATCTAGCAAATTATGCAAGCATTAAAATTTCCTGATAAGCTTTACCCAAGTGATTTTTATCAATGAAATGACAGTAGCTGCAGGATACAAACGTTCTGCTAGCTGAGAACGGCGCAACTTCACCTCATGCATGGGTTTATAAGTAAAGGAATACATCTCCATTGGCACGAGGCCTTTCGGAGAAGCTCAAAGCAAGGCCACAAGAGCTTATACTCAAAGCGGACAATATCATACCATCGTGGAGATTCATGATTCCTAACAAATCAACCGTTACACAGCGCATTCCAAAACACCGCTAAATTACAACAAAACAATCCTCAACCAAAAAATTCCACCCAAACAACTCATCCACATGTTTAAAGCAGAAAAAAGAAAGAACACAACAAGCATAAGAGAGCAAAACAAGGAGAAATTGAAAGAAAAAATGGTTAAAAACACAATAGAGAAAAAATGTTCAAGAAAAACTTCAATGGGTAAACGCCAAACAAACTCTCAGGATCGAAAACAGCCAAAGAAGAACCCACAACCAAACCCCAACAGATCTTCCAGTGCTCTAAACAAAAAACCAAAACAAACCCAGTTCGATTTCAGTTCTTAATTTCAACCCATCTAAACAAATCCAGTTTCCACAACACACAAAGAGAGAAAAAAACAAGTCCAGATCGAGTAAATTCATACCTGTTAAGCTTAGAACGTAGGATCGAAATGGGATGTCGGCATTGGGAGGAGGAGGAGTATAAGATGTATTTGGGATTGGACTCAATGGGCGGTGTTTGAGGCGAAAGAACATGGGATGAGTGAGATAGCACATAGGAGAACGAAGCCATTAGAAATTGGGGAAATGGGGTTTGGCAGAGACGGCTGGGGAGTGATATTAATCAGTGGTTTGTTATTGTTTGTGGGGTTTTGGGATTTCAATTGATGGGCGCTGCATGACGACGAGGGAGAAGGGGCAGTGTTTTATACAAATTTTTGTTTTTAATAAAACTAGAATGTTATTTTTTCAATCAAGACGAACATTATTAAATAATAAAAATTTAATACAATCCAACCAAAAAAAAAATTTTGTATTGGGTGTTTTTAATTTAATTCGCATCGAATTAAAATATTTTACTTAATACTTTAAATTCGAGAAAAATTCTTCCAAATTCATTATAATTTAGGATCAGAAATTTCATCTTTTAACTTGTGTCATGAAATTCTATAAATCTAATAATACAAACCATTAAATTTGATATTCGTTTATAAAAGTAATAATGAAAAAAAATTATGAACTTATTTGAGTTGTGTTACGTTCAAATAGATGAAAATTTTGTAAATTCTTTAAAATTAGATTGTATTGAATCCAACCAATTTAAATTTATTTTTACTTTATAAATATTCACTATATATGTATACTATCTAATTTCATAATAATAATAATTATTATTATTATTATTTGGTTCATTTACTCTTATACAAAAATTCATAATTTTTTAAAATATATAAAAGACACATAAAATCTATAAAATAAATTAAATGATTCATTATTTTATAATATATATATATATATATATAGTAACAGAGTGTCATCTGTCATTCTTGTTGAGTTTTAGTTTACGAATCAATAGGCGAAAGAAAAAAGGTGATTGAGTTACAGGATTGAATAGTCAGTCAGTTTCGTCTCATGAATAAAGAGGTGAGTCTAGTTACGGTGAATAGATAGGAAGGGAAGAAAAGGAGTTCGTTCCACATTAGGGTCAAAAGTAATGATACAGACAGTCAAACCATAAATTAAATAATTTATTATTTTATAATATAAAATATATATATATTTTAAGATTTAGAGTTTAAGTTAATAACATAAAATCTATAAATAAATTAAATGATTCATTACTTTATGGTATAAAAATATTTTTTAAATAAATAAATATATATATATATATATTCTTTACAGTTTAGGGTTAATAACATAAAATCTATAAATAAATTAAGTTATAGTATAAAAATATTTTTTAATATATATATATATATAGGATTTAGAGTTTAGGATAAATTACATAAAATCTATAAATAAATTAAATGATTCATTTTTTTATAGTATAAAATTATTTTTAAATATATATATATATATATATATATATTATTAGTCACATAGGTAAAAAGTCACTTATGTCACCTTCACGGTATAATTTGACCTATTTTTGTTTTTATTTTTTTATTTTTTTCTAGAAAGATTCCTTTAAACAATATAAAATAAGAAAGAAAAAAAATGAATAAAGGTATTATGAATTTTGTTTACGTGTGTATATATATATTATTTATTTATTTATTATTATTATTAGGTCAACTCTATATTTTCTCTAAAAAAAATATTTTTGAACTTTAATTTTTTTAATAATATCTGATTAAAAACATATTCTTAAATTTTAAAAAACATAGTATTTTATTTAAAAAATAATATTTATTTTAAAAAATATATATTTAAATAAAATTTCAAAATTTTATTATTACTCTTGAATTTTTTACAAAAAAAAATTTCGTTTTTTAAAAAGTTAAAAAAATATTCTTGCCATTAATATATGAACGAAACCGTTACCAATGTTTAAAAAATATTCGCAAACATTCAAAAATAACAATAAAAAGTTTAAAAATGATTATATAGTTTCCGTCCATATATATAGACCGTATAAACTTTTTTTGAATTTCTTTTAAATTTTTATGGGTATTTTTTTTTACCGTAAATATATTTTTAATTTTTTTAAAAAAATTAAAATATATTATTTAAACTTTTAAAAAGTTTACTAATTTTTATTTTTTTATATTTTACCTTAAATAAATAATATATATTAATAATAAAAAAAAATAACATTTCTAATTTGTAAGTTGGCTTTTTCGCTTTCTAAATTTTTTAATTAATTATTATTCCAAGAGTAATTAATTATTAAATAATAAAATTTGTATTATAATATTAAAATAATAAAAGTTAAAAAGCAAAAAAGAAATTATGATGTGCTTAAGACATGGTCGATTGATTTTGTTCGTATATTTGACTAATCGATATTTATAGTTTATCTATATCGGGATAAATATGCTCGAGAGGATAATTTTTATATTTCCCTTTTTGCTCTTTAATATTTTAAGGCTTAACTTTATCCTCATATTCTTTTATAATGCTTTCAAATATTCCTATTTTGTCCCTACCAGATACATCGAACATCGATCACTTTTCTACCGAGCCTGCTATATATAGGTCCACAATGGTTCGTGTATCGTTTAATCTTTTTAAAAAAAATTATTTGGGTTTAGAGAATAAATCCAAATCTTTCAAAATGTCAAATGATGGAAAGAGTTTTGCTTTTATAAGAAATCTTGAAATGCATAATGAAATTATGAAACTTCAATAAAGAGACAAATTTTGAAAATTTAATGGTTTATTAGTTTATATCACACGTATTTATTGCTGATCGTAGCTTTATTTTCAATCATAAAAAATATTCACGTGATTCATATTTATTTTCAAAACGAGAACAAATCGTCATATTAGCTTAAAAATTAGGGTTTGTTTACTAATAATGAAAGAGAATAAAATGTTGTACCTGCTTTATTCTCCGATGTTTACCAAAATAAAAAAACGGGAATAAAGACAAACCCTAAATTTGAGAATCTCGTTGATTTCGTCCAAAAAGGCGATCGATCTCATATTATTTTGCAAAACTCGCCTTTTATTTTTCTTTTCGTATACTTCGCGTTCACAATATATTTTTCTCGTTTTTCTCGACCCACTTCCATCATTTCAAACCTAATAAAGAATGGGTTATTTTTACTAGTGTCGATGGTTTAAAATTTTGATTTTTGGCCAAATTTGAATAAGAGACAAATGATAACAATTGTCTTGGCTTACACGACTAAATCTCATAAAATGAAGACAAAAAAGTAAATATCAGTGTAAACAAACCGAGAGTTAGTTAACACAAATATTCATTTCACTAGATACATGACTACCGTGCTTATGGGCATGTTGCTAATGTTCAAGGTGACGTCGTTCATCAAGGAGCGCTACAAAACCAGAGGAACGCTACAAAACAAGATCTAGCTCTAGCTCTTACTTTCGATACATGGTTTTTTCTCTCTTCTTGAACTCATGCATAGATTACTTCAACAGGTACAACTCGTTCTACTTATCTGAACTTCACTGCTACCGAGTGTCCTACGACTAGACTCTTTGAACTCACTTGAGCTTATAACTTGCTTTTATTTCTTATCAACGTCGAACCTAGCTTTTAAGCTTGCTCGCAAATTTGGATGACATAAATAGCCTCACCTATTCAGGGGTTTTTTACTTTTTAGTTCTTTATAGCTCTTCATGTGTTTGAGAACTAATAAAGACCTCTTAACCGTGCTCTACACAGTAACTCAATCACAGAATCTCGTGGCGGTTAGGTAAGGTCAAATAATTGGAATAGCTCGAACATCAAAACCCATGTTCTTTTCCGACTCCTCTTACAAGTTCGATATGCATTTGAGTCCTTTTCTGCTTAACTATTCTCGTAACTCAAATTCGTGGAGGATAGTCAACATTTTAGCCCAAATAATTATATAACTATTATGTATATTCTCATTGATCAGTTTCCTAGAGCCCATCTATACATTTTTAGGTTACTACGGTAGGTTTTCTTAATACAAGCATTTAGGTTCCACTAGACCATTTAAGTTTAACTCGAGTGGGGACCTTCTTCTTTGGATACAACCCCAGAGAGTTGCGATGACGCGGGATTCTTCCAACCCAGGTCAAATAGGAAGAACTCGAAGATTCCACCTCTAAAAAGCGCCTATACCTAATAGCTTAAGCCGCTGTTCCCATTCCAGATCATGAGAAAGAATGTTATTGGCTATTTCCGAATACATATTTCTCATTTGCACTTTCGAGTGTGCGCTTTAGTTTTTGAATTTCTAGTTTGAAAGTTGTTAACTAACCTTAGCTCAATCAACGCTTCATTTAAGTTCATTCACTCTCATTGATTGGATCTTTAGAGCACAATCATTGTTAAGCTTCTACTCATATCCAAGCGCTATAAATCTATGTCATAGACTCTTATAAACTAGCACTTAGGTTCTACTATTCTATCTCTTTTTCCGAGTTCCTACTAGTCATCTTCTAATTTTTTAACATTAGCCCAACGAAACTCTTGCTAACTTACTAATCTCTTAAAGCTCGTTAGCTAGTGATAAGACACTCATAATTCTCAGCCCAACGATCTAAGCTTTTATAAAGCTCGTTAGCTAGTGATAACATCTTCTTATACAAAATTTAGATCAACCGAGAGATAAGACTATAACTAGATTATACCAAACCTCCCAAACCAAGTGTTGTAAACTCTCTTGCCAACATATTTTCAACGCAATCACATATATGATGTTTTCTTTCAAACTGTTTTCAACTTATTTCCTCTTATGTTTCATTGTCGAGCTCCTACTCATACCCAAGCGCTATAAATCTATCATAGATTCTTATCAACTAGCACTTAGGTTCTACTATTCTATCCCTTTTTTCTTTTAGAGTTCCTACTAGTCATCTTCTATTTCAACATTAGCCCAACGAAACTCTAGCTAACTTACTAATCTCTTAAAGCTCGTTAGCTAGTGATAAGACATTCATAATCCTCAGCCCAACGATCTAAGCTTTTATTAAAGCTCGTTAGCTAGTGATAACATTGTACAAAATTCAGATCAACCGAGAGATAAGGCTATAACTAGATTATACCAGTGTTGTAAACTCTCTTGCCAACATATTTTCAATGCAATCGACATATATGATACTTTCTCTCAAACTGTTTTCAACTTATTTCCTCTTATGTTTTATAAGAACGTTTTCTCTTGAAATGTGACTCAAGGCTAAAAACTGGGTCGAGATTGCCTACAAAGATCAATTCTCGTACGACTAACTTATTCATTGAGCTTAAC